GAGTTGTGCTCAATAATTAATATAATTGCATTATTTGTGCATAGAGATGTATCTCACCAAATGTAGTATCAGATAGCAAGTTGGGAGCTTCGAGTTGCCGTTTGCCAGTGTATCCGAAATGCATTGTTGTTAAACATTTGACTGGTAACAATTGAACAATAATTTTCCAGATATATGAATATGTTTATTTGATACATAGTACAGGAGATTAACATATACTAGATTAATCTATATTTTCAAGTTTTACACGCAGTTATCTTTCCGATAATGTACACGCTAATATAGTGCCATGGGTCATAACAAATATATCGATTACAAATTTGAGCCTTCTTTCCTTTTTGTAGAGCATGGTGGTAGAGTTTACACATAATCGGCAACATGTGAGTTTTAATTTGGGACAGTAAAAAACAAGTTTGTTGAAAAAAGCGATACATATATTAGAGAGTTTAAGATTTGCGTACGTAACGGGAACGTAACGTGATGTTCTAATTTCGTTTGCGTTACGTTCTCGGGTGTCAGAAAACGATTAAGTACAAGCGCCCACAACGGGAACGTAACTGAAACCAGAACCATGTCAATCCGTCTCTCAATGGGCAACAATAACTACCTAATAAAATTTTGTATGTCATTTCACGTCCGGAATCAGAATTAGTAGTTAGTTCACAGACATTTGACAGAGCTCTCACTATTTCCATCAACTCTGCTGAGGTCCTAGGTCTGTTTGCCGAATCCTATTTCAGCAGATCAATATCATGCGTTTTCAGTGGGTATAAATGTCAGCTAAAATGCATCCAATATTTCTTATTTCATCATAAATATTCAAAAACACTCCAATATAAAACGTTTTATCAATGTCAATGAAAATTATTCAAAATTGACAGCGAGAAAAGCTCTCGGAAATCAACTACGAGTCAGTCACCTTTATCACGTTCAAAACGACTGCCGTACGACCAGGCAACCGATGACTTCATTGGTTCGCGCGAAGGTCGTGCACAAAGCGGTGACGTATCCGTTCTCGTTCCGTTCTCGTATGCGCATCTTAATGTCTCTATTTACGTTTTTAATGATTACATTTCTGGCCCTTCATAGAAAACCGCTCTTGTCGGGACTTAAATAAATAAAGACAAATACAACATCAATTGAACACAACGCGCAGAAATCTCACTCCCTTGAGATGACACGCGTCATGCAATAATGTACTAGTAAGTTACACCAGAGCTAACTAAGGCACATCTCCCGGAAATTGCACTTGCCGCGTACATCTGGTCCCTCGTAATGACCGCTTTCAATCCCACGCGCAACGTACCAGGGGAGTAGCTACCGTAACACCTTGAGTTGAGATGGGTTTGTCAAATACGCATGTTCGCATTATATAATTGCTTTTTCGCAGTATACATTTGCATAATTTCATAGGATGTTCGAATTTTATATTTGTATTATTTTCGTGCCTGTTCGCAGTTCTTGCTGCCATTTTCATGCCCTGCATATTTGTATTATTCCATCTTATATTCGCATAATTTTACCTTACATTTGCATTATAGCATTCAATAACCCTTTGTTGCATATTGTACTTTCACTGCATGTGCGAATACGGTTTGAAAAATGCCATGTAAAAATAGGGAAATCAATAGACAAATTGAATTTTCAAACAGGAACACTAGATTTTTCCAAACTCCATCGATGTGGATTTGTACGAAAAGCATCTTCTGCATGATAATGAATATTTTGACAACATGATTTATCTACAACTTCATCGATTTGTAAAAGAAATCATGGTTTTTAAAAGAAAATATTCTGCATGGTAATAAATGATACTCATGATTCGGAAGAAATCGAAATCTCTGTTTCATTGAGTCGTTGCTAATAACAAATGTCTTTATATATTGATACGAAATAGTTTTCAACTTTATAGTGTTACAAATGATTACTTGCAAAGTTTTGAAGCGAAATTGGATCCAGCCAGTTTACTGGTAGTATTCGAGGATGCTTGTGAAGAATATAATTTGTATTACTAAAATTTGTAGAAATACGTTTATACGAAAAATACTTTTGACTAGATTGATATTTTAATTAAGGCTTCATTTAGTGGTTAGAGATTTTGTTTGGAATTACGATATTCCTTTGAGGCATAATATAATCATTGTCGTACGATGGCATATTCTTTAGAAAAATTGTGTGTTTATAAATACCAATTGGTCAGCACCTCTGTGGTTATTGCGGCCTTTGTTGTTGTCGGTGTTGTTGGTGTTCAGTTGGAGGGGCAGCAATTTTATACCATTATATCTGCGGTCCATATTATTAACATGTCTAGAAAATATGATTTTGAATTGTAAGTATATAGTTGCGTTGATTACGTATGACATTCAGTCGCTGCGTTAAATGTCCAAAAGTTTTTCGAAATATTGCTTTTACTCAAACAGTCGTAGTAGTGAGTATGCCAAATACGTGTCATGAACGTAATCAGACAACACCTGTTGCGAGTTTATCATATTCCCTGTGTTGTTTATTGAAAAAGGTAAATCTTTTGTTCACCTTTAATAGTGCAGCGCCCGGTCAGTGTAAAATATATGCTAATATGTGATTGATGCAAGGTGCGGACATTGTAAAAATGTAATTCTATAAAATTGATATGGCAATTATTATTGCACATTTTTATTTTAGGAAATAAAGTCTTTAACCATAAGTTACCATACGAAACGTATTCTAGTAACATGTTGTGACACTGTTCAGTTTCTTAAAAATCAGCTGAAAGCCATCAAGGAGAGCAAAAATGAACCAACTATGACCTGAATTAATTGTTCAATTATTTTGTGGGATATATAGGCACACGATAGATACTGCTGGTGCCCAATAAACTTCATAATGATTCGTGTGTTTGCGTTTTGTAAGAAATAGTCTTTGTTTTTACCAGCCATGTATTAGCAACTAACACAATGTTTGTGATAACAACAGTTGTCAGCCGGTCTGTGAAGTAGCAATTCTCACGAAGACGCACGCAATTTACTAAGCATACCAACAGCACTGTGACAAACAGACTTATTAATTCGTACAGTATCATACTTTACACAATGATCTTCCCATTACTTGAGATACTCTATTCACGCGAACGAAGCTGAACGTTTGTTGGCGTTGAAATTGACAAACACCCCACTTGGATTAATCACACGAATAAACGAGTTACTGAGGAGACAACTCGGTATTTTGCTAAGGTTGCAGCTCTTTGTCACCAGGCACACTATCTTACTTCTTTATTATACACTGATCAAACCTCACCTCACACACACGGTGTAGAAATCTGTTGTTCACATTTGAAAAGTATTGTAACTACACAAAAGATGATGGCCAGAATTTTCCCATTTCATCTCGCCTTTCTGCACCGATTTTCAAACAACACAAAATCCTATACATATTTAGGTTTCACAGATTCCTTCTTTCTAACTTCATTTATGACCTTATCTCTGAGAAAACTCGCTTATCGAACACAATATCAACACTCGACAGAAAAATCTGGTTGCCCTTGCTGTACCAAAAACACAGCCATGGGAAAATTTGCAATAAAGTATGCCCACTCTATGCCTTGGCATAACCTTGCAGATTCCTAATGAACAAAAATATATACCACCTATTTTACAGCAGCGACATTCTGACAACTAAAACCTACATGCAATTGAAACATGCTGATTTCCTCCCAAATATTTCTAAAATGTATCTTGTATGCACCAGATTACATTATGCACGATGTATTGAAAACTCGCCTGCCCATGTTAGAATGTGTATGCACAAACGAGAGGTGAAGTGTTCAAGGTGAAAAATGAGGTTTACATTCCATTTCATGGATTCATATCGGTTTACAACACTCGCAATGACCAACCGAATTGTCTACCACTGGATGAAGTGACATTGGCAGAAAAACTTAAAGAAGTTGGATATGCCACTCATTTGGTTGGTAAATGGCATCTGGGTTTCTACACTCCGTTGTGTTTTCAGACGCGGTGTGTATTTGATTTTTTCTTTTGGTATGTACAAGGTATTGGACAAACTATTTATGGAATTGTGACGCGTTGGTCCGGGTTCGAAATGTCCTGTGTTGTTTATTATGAGGCATTCTGAATTCGATGGAATTGAATTGTAATTGGCTAAAACGCTTTTGACTGAGTAAAAGAATGTTTTTCCAACACATTTTAAATCGAATTTAAAATAACACACAATTCAGACATTGATTTGTAATCTAAATCGAAATAAATATTGTGTAAAATAAAGGAAGTGTTAGTACTTCTTTGGGTTATCATACAGGGTATCTGATTGGACAGGACAATTATTATAAAGACATCCATGAGAGTGGGTACGATCTAAAACGACACGAAACAGATGTATCTAAACAATACCAGGGTGATTACTCAAGCCACGTGTTTACAAGTGAAGCACAGGTCATTATAAAGTCACGTGATCCAATTATCTTTATTTTATCAGCCATGCACCTGTGCAATAGTAAATAATCACATAAGTTGTGATAACAACAGTTGTCAGCCGATCTGTGAAGCACTCACTTCTCACGAAGACTCACAAAATCTACTAAGCATACTAGCAGTACTGTGAAGACAAAACCAGACTGTGTTTTATTAATTCCATCAGTATCACACAATGATTTTTGCATTACTTGAGATATTACTTTGCTTCCATATAACGGTCATTGTTGGAAGCCAACCAAACATTATTTTTATTCTCTCTGATGACCATGGGTGGAATGATATAGGGTACCATAGCCATATTATCCGTTCCCCAAACATCAACGCATTGTGTAATGATGGGGTAAGGTTAGAAAATTATTATATTCAACCTGGGTGTACACCAAGTAGAAGTCAATTAATGAGCGGTCGTTACCAGGTACGTAAACTATATATTATATATACATGATTTATGACATATAATACTTCTATGAAACCAATCCATATATTAGTTAAATGGTAATAGATTGGTTCACTGGTAGGGAGCTCGTCAGTATGCCGTATCGAGACGCTTGCAGAGATTGCGAGATCGTATTCCGTTTTAGATTATGTATTTTTTCTTATACCTTTCGAACGTTTTTACAAGTCTATTACACCAACACACATAGTGAATTTCAACACAAAACAAATTATACAATGTTTTATTGTTGTAAATAATTATTATTTTGATTTATTACACCATACTAGTTGAAGTTTGATTTTTTTGAATACACGTTGATGTTTTACTGCACATATTCAAGTGTAGGCGTTCTCATGATACTCACACACTCTGAAAATCCAATGAATCGTTTTGAAATCTAATATATACAACCTACTTCGCAGCAGCGACATTCCGACAACCAAACCTTACATGCAATTGACACATACTAATGTACAATGTATGAAAAACAGTCTGCCCATGTTAGATTGTGTATGTAGATCCGATTTGTATATAGTTTATGGTAAATCCTTACTTGGGTGATGACGACTATCTTACGAGTTATTTTATTCTTTGGAAATGGTGGAATGTGAGGAGGGATGTTCACATTCACGACGAATACCGACAGAAAAACATATATATTGACCGACAGAAAAAACATACATATTGACCTCCAATTAAAATGAAATGTACTGTATGCACTTGTCATGAGGTGAAGTGTTCGAGGTGAACAAATTAGGTTTACATTATATTTCATAGATCCATACCGGTTTACAACACTCTGTTATTCGCAATGACCAACCGAATTGTCTACCACTGGATGAAGTGACATTAGCAGAAAAACTTAAAGAAGTTGGATATGCCACTCATTTGGTTGGTAAATGGCATCTGGGTTTCTACACTCCATCGTGTCTTCCGACGCGACGTGGATTTGATTCTTTCTTTGGTATGTACAAAGTATTGGACTGAAAAAATGTTGTTTCAACACATTTTAAGAAGAATTTACAATAACACACAGTTCAGACATTGATTTGTAATCTAAATCAAAACAAATATTTTTTCAGGATAAGGAAAGTATTAGTACTTTTTTATGTTATCATACAGGATATCTGATTGGGCAGGAAGATTATTATAAACACATCCATGACGGTGGATACGATCTAAAACGACACGAAACAGATGTATCTAAACAATACCAGGGTGATTACACAACCCACGTGTTTACAAGTGAAGCACAGAACATTATAAAGTCACATGATCCAAGCACAGTAAGTATTATCATTGAAATTGTCTGTACTTGTGTATTACTTACAAACACTATACATAGCTAAAATGTAATACAATTGTTATCACATGTACAATGCAGTAGCAGTGAATAAAGTGAATGCAATATTTTTTTCAAGATTACTCCCCGTGATCAGAATGTCCGTGTATGCAATTCGAAATTATGACGTCTGCAAATAATCAGCTCTTAAAATATCAAAACACAGCTGGTTTAACAACTAGATAAGCTTTTTAGTTTAAATTGTTTGCAATATGATAAACCATAATGTTATAATACATATGCTATATACCGATTGTCTTTTTAGAGGGTCACAGTTTCTTTCAACCTCACCCTGACAACGCACGGGATTAGTTTTCTCAACTGAACTTTTAAAATTGGTTTAAATTTACTGTTGTATACATAAAGACAACTGAAAAACTGTAGTACGCCAAAGCAGGTTCGAGCACGGCGTATGTCAGTATGCACTCTCCCAGAATCAGCGACTAGTTTGCAAATTGCAAGAGTGCAATTTATCAATCCCTGTCCCGCATATTAAGAAGGGGTTTCATTAAAGTTCATTTTCCTTGGAATAGGGATTTGTAGTAAGCTATTCCATGGCCTAGAGTCAACTCACCTTAGTCAGTAAGTTGCATGAGAGCTGTTTACCCATATCAGAACTAATGTGCTATACATGCCAGCCAGGGGCTCGGCAACTGCATAGTCACAAAGCGTGGATGTGAACCGATTACTTTTCTCATTAGCCGGTTCAATTGGTCCTAACAAAATTGACTGTCACTCTCTTGAAAGAACAGCCAATTAAAAGCATAGTTTATTTCCATCTAATGTTGTATAATTTATGAAAAAATTATATACCATCACGCATGGATTGTCATTATAATCGTGAACAGATTTCAGGAGTTTTCTTGATTCCCAAGTGTCCTGCCAAGTTCTAGTCTTGTTCTAATTTCAAAACATTCAAATAAAACATCTCGGGTACAACATGCTGCATTGTTTCACTATTGATACTTTCTCGACATTATCCCCTTTTCACAAAAATATGGTGTACAGCAGGCCGCCTTGAGATATTCTCTCACCCACTGTCACATTGCTCCCGCACCCTTAACCAAACAACGTTGTGTTAAACCCCTATCAGACATATCTGTGCTAAATTGAGGAACACTACTAGGTTGTTTGGTTTATTTCGAGCTTTGAAATGTCAACAAGTCTCCACCCATTGTAATCACACTATTTTCCCATCAAGTCAGTTGTGCGGAAAAAAAATCAGTTGTCAGGAGGAGTGGGAGTGCAATTTACCCTTTCCTGTCCATGCACAGATTCCCACCTCAATCCGTTCTAGAACTGAATTTTCACTCACAATGTGGAACCCCAGCACTTGCTTGGGGCAATATTATTGTTCTTGTCTGCACTGGAGTGGGTAGTAGTCTGAAAAATATCCTTATTTTCCCCTGAAATAAATTAATTTCCTGATTAATCTCAAACATTAATTACACTTGCTTAATATGTATGTACATAAGAACGTACACAGGTATACGTGTGCTCGATGATTAGATGAAATGTAGTCTTAATATATGCACGCCGATCTATGACGATGTTCAGAAGTAAACTTGAAGAACACAAATTGAGGGCAAATGCTTCTGTCAACTGATTTTGAATCTCTGAATTACTTGGTGTTATTTAACTGTTGCCTCTATGATAAAATGCATAGCAATCGCTATACTGGATAAAATATACATATATTTCTGTGTATGTCAACATATACATTTAAGTTTATTTTACTATATACCGGTTATCATGTTCAACAATATAAAATGAAATACCGAATGCACGTTTTTCTATGAACAAGTTTTAACATATATCATAGTATGTGTTGATTTTTGTCAATATCCCAAAAGCACACTCCCATTCAAAGCATGTAAAAATTGTAATTATTCACTCAAAACAGGCACGTATATTGTTATCATCGCGTTTCTACAAAAACTTCAGATGTTATGTTATATATGTAAAAATATTTGTGAAATAACTGAAATATTTGCAAAGAGGTACAATTTTCCTACTCTGAAACATCTCTGAACATCCAACACCAGTTTCTCCCATTTTTAGTTGTCTACATTAGATGACGTGCAGTCATGTTACTGTGTGGAACATGTAGTACTTCCACTTTCAAATGCTTCTGGTACCCCAAGTTTCAGCTGCACTTCATTCACCCCCTTTGTGTTGTTTGTACAACACAGTGGTGCTTTGATACGGCTCCTTGATTTATTGAATAAGTCAAGGCAATGCAGAACAGTCAGTTTATTAAAAGTGTGCATAGCCACTTGAAACATTTATCCCACAAACCCTAAAACAGTTATCCCCACAAACCTTATTAATGGATCAGCAGGAACATGACTCAGACTCCTTTCCCATTAAGACTTTTTCTTGCTAATCAGCAAAAACAACATTATTATCTATTTCAACTACTTCCCGCATTTAACATAATTATAACACAAGAAAAAACTACAAATGTAATCTTTCTTTCCCCAAAGTTAAGAAAAGATGTGGTCAATTTTCTATAAAATATATTGGCCCGAAAATATTGAACACAATTCCGACAAGTGTTTTCTTATACATAAAATGTATATACAAATATATATATATATACATATCTATCTATCTATATATCTATCTATATATCTATATATCTATCTATATATATATATATATATATATATATATATATATATATATATATATATATATATATATATATATATATATATATATATATATATATAT